AAATAAAATAAAAAAAATAAAAGGAAAATATGTTTCATTAAATTCTATTAATGCAAATGCACCTAATATCTATGTGACATGTAATTTAATGAAAATATTTTTGCTTAGGAGTTAAAAATAAACCTCTACTTTTCTATGCACTTAAACCCTAAATGACTGGGCAAAATTTAGGTGTCAACAATAGTGTAGAAAGTGGAAATTGTGAAATTAAATTAGAAAGTGATATTTTTGTAATTTGACTAAGTTATCAATTTACTAGCTAAGTGTTGTTGATTAATCACGTTGTCGATTATTTGGGTGTCGATGTTCACAATGTCGATTCTTTGAGTTGTCAATATCCACGTTATTGATTTTTGAGTTGATTTGTTGGTTGAGACCAAATTGTTGATATGCAAGAAGTTGGTTGATAAGTTATGTATTTTTGTGTTATCAATTTATAACTTGTCGTGACGAATCTTCCAGTATATGACTATGTTATTATGGTTCACTTGTTAAAAATAAAAGAGGTAAATGTGTTATTACTATTTATGTAAGTGATGCATGGAAAAGACATAACGATAGTGTTTCGGTAATGTTTTTGCATAAGATGATGTCATGTACCGAATGTTGATTTTGAGGATGGCTATGCAAGGGATGATAAATGAGTATCAATTTCGTTGTTGATGCAAGGTTGATGTTATCATGTGCACCATCACTATGTGATTAATTGTGGAATGAGTATAATGAAAAGTAAATTCCGTCGTCCATATATTTGTGGCGACGATGCCCCGGAGTTGGGATGTCCCGAGAGTCGGAATGAGATTGAAATGCTAATAATGAATATAATGGGTATCTATGTGTATGTATAAATGCATACATTCATATATGCCTATTAATGAATTAAGTGGTGATAATTATGCAACACAATATGTTATGTTATCCGCTAGTATTTGAGTGAATGATCTTATGTAATGTTATTAATGATTTCTATTGGCATATCATGATAGTCTAGAAAAGATATTCCATGTGTATAGTGCATCCTAAAATAATATGTCATCTACTTGCTTTGAGTGAATGAACTTCTGTTTTGTTGTTAATGGTTTTCATCGTCATATAATAATAATAAAGAAAAAAGAAAGATCGCTTGCATATACATTTGTCATACATGGTTATTGCCTTGAACTCACTATGTTTGTATGTATCAGGTTGAGTGATAAGATGATCTCCTCCCTTAGATTTAGAGATTTCATTTACTAGACTTCAACTCACTCCTTATTTTTCATATTTGTAGGATAGTCCCATGCACATGTCGATGGAGAGGACGAGATGATATTGGAGGCCTTCAACCCTTATGTTGGATGGTGGTTTGGTTAATGTTTAGGCTCGCTTTTGGTTTAGTAAGGGAGTAGTGGTACTAGTGGACCCGACCTTCTTCCCAAGACTTTTGTAATGAATTGTATATATTGGTAATGGTATTGTAAAAATTTTATTGTGCTTCCGCATGCTTATAATAACTATAAGTAATAATCCAAATGGACACATGTTATGCGCGACGTTCTCGGGCGTCACTATATATTTTCTGTTCGCTGTCTCATTAACTCAATTTTTGCACCTGTGAAAAGCCCAATGTTTTCAATTCATCAAATTGAAAAATATTTAAAGGTTGGAGGAAAGAAATCTTTTGGAAATCATGAGTATTGTTTAATTAAGAAGATACGAAATTCCATTGTTTTCTAAACCTACAAAGAATTGAGTGTTTGCTCTCTCCTATTGGAACAACCTCCCATCGAGGTCTCACAATCCTTTTGCACTAGCCACCCATATTCCTCTTTCTAGGAATCACTACAACTCCTTCCCGACCGGCCCCCTCCATTGCCGTGTACTCCTCTTGTGCCCCAAGCCCTACCCTAATACCGCTAAGGATGATGGGAGGGACCACGGTGATGTCGCCTTGAAACCACGGTTGTTTTCGATTCATGCTAATCGTTTGCATTTGCATTTCTTTTAATGCTTTTCTTGAGCAAGGTTAAGAAATGTTTGAGTGCGGGCCGTTTTTCTGGGGTGTGCACAAATCAAGAGTTTTCTTACACTTGCCGAAAGTGAATTTTGTGTCGCAAACGAAGAAGCAAAAAAGTATGGTGCCAAGGTTATACTGGCCGATCTCCTTGATCAGATATTGCCTTCTTTTCCCATCTATGTACTTTTTCCAATTTAGTTCGTGCTATTTAAATTCCAACCGCTTCTCTCTTCTACATGACTGTCACATGTTACTATGATAAAGCTATTGGGGAATATGCCACACTCTGAAAAAAGAGAGTTTGAATATCTGATACGTGTGTATGAAATGGTAAGTTTATTGCGTTAGATCTCATTGAAATTATTTGCATCACGTTGGCGATATTTCTATTTTTCTGCAGGCTTTTTGGGATATTATTGAAGATAACTTAAAGAAGAGCAAGATCGTCGAATATTCTTTTTGGTGAAATAGATCTGCCCTCATGGAGTATGAATAATATATTGTTGCCTCGTTTGTGTTTTAGGTACTTGTCCTCCCAATTGGTTTTTCCTACGGGTGGGAAAATGGTCCATTAACCCATTTTTCATACATATTTGCTTGTTAGGTTTAAATGGGTCACTCTAATTTTATGAATGAGTTAAAATGAGTTTCTTAAAATGAGTTCTAAGAAATAAAAACCATCTAAAAATTGGTATAGATAGGTTTAACACAAACTTGTCTTTTAAGTTAAGGCCTAGATATATTACAATTTTATTTTTCACACTTTCCATTTCTTCTTGTTTCCCTTAACAAACATCTAAAAAGTCAAAGAGAGAGAGACTGATTTAATAATCTATTTTTGTAGACCCAAGAAAATTTTCGGGTCAATCATTATATAAAATTATGAAACTTTGATATTTCCATATGCGAAGATGGATTAAAACTCAAATTAAGAAAATGGTGGAAGTATATATCACAAAAAGTTTGTGGCAACACATGGTCGTCGAGCATGAATGGACACCTTGAAAGATTGATTACAGCTTAAATCATCCCTAAACCAGTTTTTAATAACTAATTAAAAAAACTAAAAAAGTAGAAAAAAAAATAAAAGGAAAGAATTCGTGGGCCATTTCAATTCTTTGGTTGCTGTAATGCGAGCCAAATGGTCCCCGTTCAGCATTCCTTGGGCGCATATGCGGAAGTTAGACATGGTCGGTCCAAATTGACCTAAACCAAAAAACGAAAAGTTGATGCCTTCGGATTAGACCTCATACAACTAAAAATGAGCCTAAACATTATTCAATATCCTCTCCAAACTCCAAACTAATTCAAGTTCCTTTATTTCGAAGTTTATGGTGTGGGACGTGGTCGATGTGAAGTCGGACCCCGACGAGCTGGCCAGCGTGTACGGGTTGCTATTCGTCCAGTTCGACCACGATGCCAACGCCAACGGGTCAGTGGACCTGGAGGAGTTCAAAGTGGAGACAAGGAGGATGATGCTCGCCATGGCCGACGACTTGGGGTTCTTGCCGGTCCAAATGGTGTTGGAAGAGCACAGCTTCTTGAAGAAAGCCGCGACGCGCGAGCTCACCAAAGTCGTTGCTTAATCTGGAGCATGTTATTTAATAGTGATTAATCGCAGCGACCCGACAGTTAAGCTGGGTCGCCCGATTCGTCGGTCCTCAAGCGAGCTAATCCCCCCCCTCTTAATTTTTATTTGAAAAATTACTTTTTAGATTGGATATCAAAGTTTGTATAAAAAAAAAAAAAAGCTTACCAAACACTATTCGTATCTCGTGACAATCCTGTGGTCTAAATTCTTTTGCATATGCAAAGGCTTTTCCCAAATGTTGTCTTTTAAGGCACCCTAAAATCACGTGGAAGCAAAAGCCTTGAGCATGTGGACCGATCCCTTCGACCATTTGCAAGCCGATTTTTCCCAGTATTGTAAACATCTCTTTCGTCTTTAAAAACTCTCGAATCTCTTTCCGATTCTTATTGCGCCCCCGAGCATACCCCATGCCGTCCTCGATTTATGCGCTGATTACGATGGTTTGTCTCGTACTTACGAATTCTTTCTCGTACGGCAGGCAAAGAGCGAAAGAAAACAAACATTCGCGCTCGAAATGGAAATCAATATTCCAATCCATGATTGAGTCGTACACATTACCCGATGAGAAAGCGATTGACCTTGATCCTTTTGGTCAGTAGTTACGCAGCCTGTTCCTTTGCATGCAAGAGTCAAATGCAAGAGATCCTTTTTGGAGTTTTCATGCAATGAAAAGAAACGACCTTGATTTCTAGAATTACGAGATAATTGCTCGAATTCCCACTAACTTTGTCATTGTCGCCGGTTGTGCCCTTAAATTTGGAAACGTTACGGATTACCATCCTCGACTCCGGCACCATTGCACAATTGCCCGTGAATTTAGAAAAGTTATACATTACCTCCCGAAGCTTTTTGGGGACTCGAGGATGATAAGACACTAAAGAGTGTTCATTTGAATTATTACGACTCAACGACCCTTGAAACATCTAAAATTCAATATCGACGGAGAGCTATCATTGTAGCTCCAATCGGCACGTAAGTGGCTCGTAGCTCTTACACAAAATTAAAAACCAAGAAGGCCCGGGAGCGAGGATCGGCAAGAGATTTCGCTCGCCACGCAACTCGATCTAATACTCTCTCAAATTAATTTAAAATTGGAAAGTTTAGTTATGTGATCGAATTATGTAATTCTAATTCTCACCATTTCCTCTCTCTCTTTTTTTATTTTCCCCGACAAGCACTTTGATTTGCTCAAAGAAAAAAAAAATGAATCAACAAAGGGTCATATATGGTCCCGAGTTAGATCTTAAATTGCTTCATTTGAGGTCTTGTGCAAATCTTAGCATCCCTTGCACATAAAATACATAGATGATAGAGCCGGGTACTTGACTCGAGAAAGATACAGCCCAACTTGAGGAACTGAGCATGCGAATACCGACACGTTAAAATAAAGATTCCAGTCCTGTTAGCCTGCCGCGTGAGTCGCTCCGGTTGGTAAAAATACTACTGCTGTGAGGTACGCTCGGTAAGCCACGCCTAGGATCAACAAAGCGTCATACATGAGCATCTCCGCATCACCGCCGAAGTATACCTTCATTCGGACATTAATGCCCGGAACATCGTTTCCCACTGAAGCTCCAAGCCTCCAACCACCGCCGCTTTAAATCCAACTCGTCCCACTCGACTCAGCCAGCAAACCCGAGTTCGGGCTCCGATCCGACGCCGCCTCTCATGGCGTCTCCTCCTGCTTCCGCCGCGCTCCTCCTCCTCTTCGTCTCCCTCCTCGTCGTCCCTTCGCGCTCCCACGTCCGATCCGCCGACGACGCCTTCACGTCGATCCTCATATCCCAGAACGGCCTCGATTTCGTCAAGGACCTGCTCGTCACCAAGGCGATCGCCTCCGCCGTCCCGCTCCGGCTGCCGGACATCCAGAAATCCCAGAAGATACCCTTCGTCGGCGACGTCAAGATGGTCCTCTCCGACATCACGATTTACGAAATCGGCGTCTCGAGCTCGTATCTCCAGCCCGGGGACTCCGGCGTCGCGATCGTCGCGTCGGGGACGACCTGCAATTTGAGCATGAGTTGGTTCTACTCTTACAGGAACACTTGGCTCGTGCCGGTCGAGGTTTCCGACAGGGGACGCGCTGCTGTTCAGGTGCTGACTCGGACTTGACCAAGTTGCTCCCCTCCTCTTTCGTTACCAATTGGATGTGTGGTTTAGTCTAGGTTGAGTTTGTGTAATTCGATTGAAGATATGCTTCTTGTGTCAGGTTAGGGATGCTGAGGTTGTGCCTTGCATATTGCATTTGCATTATCATTTCGTGGCAGTCTTGCCTTCGCCTGCTAATTCTTGGGTACAATTTAGCTAAAAGGGGATCTCAATCTCATTACTCGCTTCTTATTGGTAAGGTTAAAGGCATGGAAGTGGGGCTTACAGTAGGCTTGGAGAACCATGAAGGTACCCTGAAGCTCTCTCTAATGAACTCCGGTTGTCATGTTCGAGATATATCGATAAAGTTGGATGGAGGTGCAGCTTGGCTGTATCAAGGGTATGCAATGGTCGCAGCTTGTCGGTCTTTGACTTTCGCTGCTCTTTCCCCACTTTCGGAATTTTCCTGTTGTTGCTGTAGCTATCATGAATTGGCATCAAGTTCCTTCTCATCCTTTTCAGCAAATAGCCAAATTGACAGTATCGTATAGTCATAACTTAATTCTGCCATCAACTTGATGTGCTAATTTTGTCAAATGGTTACACTGCTAGCACCGTGCATTTTTATCTGGTTTTCTTCCCCAATTACTATATGCCCTTGCTGCTTCTCCTTGCCCTGCAATTTTGCTTGGGATTATCCTATTAAGTAGAATTTAGCTCAAACTGCTATTCATCGGTCGGAGCTGCTTACGGTAGTTTACTATAAAAGCATGAATAAATTGTCATAGGCAATGCAGTTTTGAGAGTGCACAGAGTTGAGGAATGGTGTTCCAGTTGTAATTATCTGTTTGGCTTTGTACTTACTCTGGTGATGTAACTTTACCATAAGTATAATGTGAATGAGTTACTCTCTACCTTCAAGAATCAAGGATTGCATTCATCCAATTCCTTGCTGCTTGTTGAAGCTAACTAACTTTAGGTAGAGGGTGGTTCTAAGCTGTAATATAATGACTGCATGGAAAGGTGCCTTATCTCGCCTTCATTTATTCTGGGACATGGACGAGAAGTGTTTTAAGGATTTTGTATGTTTCCTTGTCTCTTGCTTTCTTCTTTACTCTACATGGTTTAACTACTTACAAGTCAAAGCAATGAATGCTTCCTCGAACGAATCTTTAACTGAATCGCATGTTCAGTCTCAAATGGAATTAACCATTGGTTGGGAGGCCTTTTCTATTTTGTGACTTCCCTTTTTCATCTATTAGAATGGTTGATGCATTCGGAGCACAAATCGCCTCAGCAGTGGAAAGTGCTATAACGAAAAAGCTTAAAGAAGGGATATCAAAACTTGATTCCCTTCTCCAATCTCTTCCCAAAGAAGTTCATGTGGATGATAATGCCTCTCTTAATGTGACATTCGTGAATGATCCTCAATTGAGTAGTTCTTCAATTGGATTTGAGATCAACGGTTTATTCATGGGACGACAGAAGGAGATGCTCTCCAACTACTACCACAGAAATCCACACCTTTCAGTTCTCTGTAGAGATTCAGCCAAAATGCTTGGGATTACATTAGACGAGGCTGTGTTCAACTCTGCATCATCCTTGTATTACGATGTAAGTTTCAACAATAGTTGTACTGTTACTTTTCTGATATACCAAGCAATTGAAGTTAGAACAGGGGTTGTTCCAGTATCTGTTTTAACTAAAATATTTTTTTTTTCGTAAAGATTTTGATGTTGAGTTGGTAAGTCATGCAGCAATGAGCATGCTTTAATATTTTGGCTTGTGAAGAGATGTTTATAAACCCTATTTCACATGACATAATAATCAAGTATTCAATTGCTTATAGTTTTCGATGAAATGATAATCAAGTAGGCCATTAGTTCTGCTTCATTAGATATGAATTATGATGCTCTTGCATGTGCATAGTTGAGGCACCACTGAACCTGAAATTTACATGCGAACCTATTGAACCTATTGATTGGAGATTAAACCTCATGTGTGTCCAATCATGGTCATGCTATCTGTCCACATGCTACTTGTGATGATTGTCTGCAGTTGAAGGTATCAGAAAAGATTGTGTAAAGGAGAAACTTTGCTGATTGTGGATACCACTTTGTCCACAAAAGAAATTTGGCTTTGTTCTTTTCTTTTTGGAGCTGGAAAATTTGTTAGTATTGTGCTTTATTGAAAAGGAAAACCTGACAGGCTGATGAGGGCTCCACCTTGTTAGATTTAACACTTTGTATCTTGATAGAATTTCAATGATTTTACTTTACTAATCAGAATAGTTATTCTATAACATAGCGTCTTGTTGTGCTTAATTATAATCTAAGATAAATTGACAATTTTATGTGGTCAGGCAGAGTTTATGCGTTGGACTGTGGATAAAGTGCCGGATCAATCTCTTCTGAATACTGCTGAATGGAGATTTATTATTCCGCAATTGTATAAAAAATACCCAAATGACGATATGGACCTGAATATATCATTGTCCTCTCCTCCAGAGATCAGAATATCAGAGAACAATATAGATGCTACTGTATATGCAGACCTGATAATTGATGTTCTGGAAGCAGGCGAAGTAATACCAGTAGCGTGCATCTCGTTGGTAAGTGGAAATATAACAAACTACTTGCTGTTATAACTAATAATGCTGAAGTTTTTGCTTTTGCTGAATATATGATTTTCTTGTTGGTGAATTGAGTTCCCACGTTTTCGTTTGTCTCCAATGTTGGAACTGTTTCCAAGCATTGGTGTTGTTATGGCTTGTGGTAATGAAGTGCTGCAAGGCAAGATGACTCTTGAGTGCAATTGTTTCCATGCTCATGCTTTAGTAGAAGTGCTAACATGGCCCACAGTTTGACTTGGGCACCTGTGATATTTTTTTTTTTCAACTATGGAGGACCTCGAAAGATGGTAATGAGTGGTCTTTGTTGTGCAACTTACATGTTGAAGGAGCTATGATGAGATAGCTGTGATTGGGCAAATATTGCAGCTTGTGTGCATCTAATGTCATGCGAGTACTAATTTGCTCCTTTTCACACGGTTCATTGTCCAAGTCCTGAATACTCAAAACTCAAGAGCGCTTATAGCATGATATATGTTCTTGCATAACAGTTTTTTCTTTTTGGTTCATTACTTACAAATATGTTTGCCAAAAATTTTCAGATATGACGGTTTTTAACTTAAGTTCTTGGGCTTTTTCAGGTGATACGAGGTTCCGGTTCCGTTAAAATCTTACAGAACAATCTTGCTGGAAGCGTAAAATTGAATGATTTTGCAATGTCACTAAAGTGGAGTAATATTGGTAATCTGCGAGTGTATCTTATTCAGGTATATGATGAAATGAGGTTTGATCATTTTGCAACTTTTATGGTTTGCTCCGTTTCTTTTAATGTTCTCCTTTGACGATCTATAAGAAAACCAGTATTTGCTTTCTGCAGCCAGTAATATGGACAGTTATTGAAACTGTGTTCTTGCCGTACGTGAACGCACACCTTGCCAAAGGATTTCCGTTGCCAATAATCCACGGTTTCACCCTTCAGAATGCTGATATAGTCTGCTCTGCTTCGAGAATCACCGTTTGCAGTGATGTATCCTATGCTGAAGCGGCCAACTTGAAGACCCTATTGATGCGCTTCCTGTAATTACTGTTCTCAGATGTAGGTGAGAGAGACCGGTGCCGGCTTACTATTTGTACAGTGTTGTAGCTTATGCAGAGAGAGCAGGGCATGGTGCCAACTCCAGTTGCTATGATCCGCCAAGCTGGGCTCTGCTTAAGCGTTTCTTCAAAAAGGGTGCTGAATGTGAGCGTTTGTCATAAGCCGAGGTTTGGAGTAAATTCAGATACGCCACTTTGCCACAATCACGGCATATTCAGTCCGCAAGATCGAGACCTGCACGGGCAATTGCTCTCGCCGTGTGAATCAGTTTCAACTCATGACTGATGTCATGACTGTCACCTTACACTTGACTCACTGTATCGGTGTCACCTTACACTTGATCCACTGTATCGGCTGCACAAAATACACAATGGTTTCTGCTGACATGATATACCTTTGATTTCTCCCCCCTCATTCTCCATTTTACTTGCCTTTTTATATTCCATTGACTTGATTAACAGATGATGCATATATAAAGATAGGGGTACTAATGTGCGTATGCATGAATGGAAACAAAGATCCAAATTTCTTCGGACGCTTACTTCAAGCCCTGTGCTTTTTACCTGTAGATCAACACGAAATGGGTGGTGGAGAACTGATAAAAGCTCATAACAAATTCTGGCAAAGAAAAACAGTGAAGATGTTCCTACATTAGATATTCGGAAGAATTACATTTTGCCTTTAAAGTTTTGACATTTGTTGCAAATTACCTTTGACTTTTCAAACTTCACTATATGCCCCATGAAATCTTGAAATCGATTACAATGTCCATCCTAACGCTAACTCGGACTCATTTTTAACTAAATCTTTTGTCATGTTGTTATTACCTGACTAATAAAAGTGAATTGCATTTTGCCCTTCAAGTGTTGGCACTTGTTATAAGTTGCCCGTTGAGTTATTAACTTTTTTTCAATTTCACCCTAAAGTCTTGAAATCGGTTGCAACACCCCTTCGGTGTTAGACTTCGGCCGAAACAGATTCGCCCTCCATAAGAGAGCGAATTGGCCACGCGACAAGCATATCGCCGGAGCTTCAATCGAAAAAATGTTTGAAGCCAACGCCAAGGGAGGCATTGCAACCGATTTCAAAAGACTTCGGGAGGGACATTGCAGAACTATAAAAAAGAAAAAAAAGTTCGGGAGCAATTTGCAAAAGATGCCAATATCCCGGGGGTGAAAATTGCAATTCGCCCAAAGATAATCCTATCTGGTCAGTGTTCAAAAAACCTCGAATAAGCCCCTCTCCCTCTCTCTCTCTCATCTTCAACCAGAAAAACAGTGAGAGAAAATGCAAATCTCCCTCACCATCTCCCCTTCCAATTCCCCCCAAATCTTCCCCCTCCACCACCGCCACCGCCGCCGCCACCAAACCCCGGATCTCCTCCACCCGCAGCCCCGCCCGCTCGCCGCCCTCCCCGCGAGCGCCGCGAGCCCCCTCAGGAGCTCCGGCTACCTGTCCACCATCCACCGCGCGATGCAGGAGGAGGAGGAGTACCGGAAGGCCCGGGCCGAGGTCGCCCGCAAGGGCGTCGACGTCGAGGGGCTCGCGATCGAGGGCGTCTCCGTCGGGGGCCACGAGACGTGCGTGATCGTGCCCGAGTTCAAGTGCGCCTTCGACATCGGGAGGTGCCCTACCAGGGCCGTGCACCAGAACTTCGTGTTCATCACCCACGCGCATCTCGATCACATCGTGAGGCCCCGTCTGCAATTTTTAACCCCCCCTCCCTCTCGTGTGTGGGTTGCGAGAACAAGGATAGGAAGCTGTAGGAGGAGAAAAATAAATGGAGATGATGTGCGCGCGCGTGTGGGTGAGTGTAAGTAAGTTTCGGTCAATTCTTGCCTAGGCTTGGCCTAGTGCTGATGTGATGGAATGAGCAAATCCTTTTACGTCAGTGTAGAAATGCTGGAAACGTAATGCGTTTAATCTCGTTCTCAAGTTCTTAGATGAAACCCACGTAATTTGTGAAGTACTGAAGCGTGATTGGCTCGATGTGTTGAATGGTCTTTGGTTTCATTCAAGATACTAGTGTCCGTTCAATTGGAATTCTTTGCATCGTATCATCTAGTGCAAGCTTTCCTTTTTCACATCTGTCCCTCCTCTTTTTCCTTTGAATTGCAATGAAGAGTGCATTTTTCCAGTTTGAATGTTGGATTTTGATTGGCTTCTGAGCGACCCTAGTCTCCCGATGCTTAGAAAATCTTGTATCAAATTTTGACTGCTGGATGCCGTGAGGAGCTTAATCTGTATTATTTTTTCAGGGCGGGTTGCCAATGTATGTCGCATTCCGTGGTTTGTACAATTTGAAGCCTCCAACAGTGTTTGTTCCTCCTTGCATTAAAGAGGATGTGGAGAAACTACTTGACATTCACAGAACCATGAGCCAAGTGGAACTGAATCTTGATTTGGTTGCATTAGATGTGGGTATGTGGCTTTAGTTTCCTTATTTGATCCATGAAAGATTTATCCTGTGCTGAGAATGTTGAAACTCATTCATGAATTTAACCTCAGGAGAAACGTATGAAATGAGAAATAATCTCGTCGTTCGGCCATTCAAAACTAACCATGTTATTCCCAGTCAGGTATGACTTATCTTTATACTTTTAGTGTACGTTGAAATAATTTTGCAATGTCAAACTGCAACAGATCATTTTTTTTTTCAAAATTTTAATGGGGATTCTGCAGAATCTGTGATAATATGAAATGTGACCATATCATTGCCATGGGGCTGGAAAAGACTTGAAAATCAATCTTTTTTCTTTCTTAGAAAAACTCCCTATGGCTTAGGGGTGAGCACTTGCTCCATGTCTACTGATGATTGTGGTCTTTAGCCAATGCAAGTGTGAGACTGCTTCCATTTGACCTTCTCAGACTTGCAATGGGGAAGCTCGCTTCGTAGGGATGCTCAAACCATGCTGCGGTTTTGAGAATACTTTTGGGAGGCAAAACTGTTGCATCTTGTAATATTTGTATGCTAAGTTCTTGAGTCCTAGTATTTTTTTTAGAGTAGAGCTAGCTACAAATTGTTCTTTTGGGGTCTTTTTTGTTTGCTATATTTCCTTTCCAAAGCGATATCCAATGAAAGGCACTGGGAGGTACCGACCGTATATAAAATCAAAAAGTAAAATGGTTATTGTTCTTTTCAGGGTTATGTCATTTACTCTGTCAGGAAAAAACTAAAGAAGCGGTACATTCATCTTAAAGGGAATCAAATTGAGAATTTGAAGAAGTCTGGTGTTGAGGTACTGTAAATTCTACAAGTTAAAGTTGGTTTTCTACTATTCATCTTTATAGGCTTTAGCTTTTTGTTCCTCTCACTCATTTAAACCCCCTTTTCTTTTTCTCTTTCTTTTTCTTTTTTGTTAGATTACAGACACCATTTTGTCTCCCGAGGTGGCCTTTACTGGAGATACAACATCTGAGTACATGCTTAATCCACGCAGTGCAGATGCATTGAGGGCAAAAGTTCTGATAACCGAGGTGTGAATGAAAAGGCTCTAGTCCCAATGTTAGTTGTGTTGGTATATTCACTGTCTGTTACCATCATAAAGATCATTAATGTTTGCCACTATTTAGTGGTCCAGCTGGTGATCGTTCCAAATTATTTAATTAAAGTGAAAAACTAGCTTGTTCCTGTGTACTGAGATGCCAGAGTATTGAAATTTATCCTTAAGCTTGGGTTATCTCAATTAGTTTAGCACTATCAAAATATTTCAATTATGTATGCATGCTTCCACTTTAACGATAGCCTTGCTTTCTTTAGAAATCTGTTTGCACTATATTTAAATGCATGTCACAACCATAGGGATATGCTTCGGGTCCTTGTTTCCTAGGTACCACTGTTCCATAGATAATGTTGTTAATACGTATCTCTCCGTAGTTTGAAGTTTGAGCCATGGCAGCTTGTATTAACAAATTAGTCAGTAAGTTGCTGACGAATACAAGATGCTGTGGGAGTGCAGTGAAGCACAAGTATCTTATGACATGGTCAATTAGATGCGTGTGCTCGCTGTCGCTATCGATAATGAACATGATCTTGGAGTAGTAGTTTTCATTATTTATAATATCAAATCAACCTAACATAATTAGGTATTATTCATGAACCAGGCTACTTTTCTGGATGATAACATAAGTGTAGAGCATGCACAGCAGCATGGCCACACTCACTTATTTGAGGTATGTTGATCCCACCTCACTTCTCCACCACTTACCTCCGGAAGTTCAAAATTTGAAGTACCATGAACTGGGCTGATTCTGTTACATGTGCAGATTATTGAACACGCTCAATGGATTCGAAATAAGGCGATATTGCTCACTCATTTTTCTTCCCGTTACAATATCGAGGTAATGTTCTAAAGGACATTTAAACGTGGATGTTTATATGTCCTCATTCTATTCTTAGAGCTTTCTTCAGCATATACTGCAGATTTCCTGCCATTGGATTCTTTTATATCTGAGAGAACACATTTATACTTTATACTTTATAGCACCCTCATGCCTGATCTTGACTCTTGGTAGCTGGATGGTTGCATGGATATTTACTTTAGTGAGCAAAAGTGTACATTTTGTGTTGAACTTTTACCGACAGAATATTCGTTGTTAAAAATTTGAGAGTATCCAACCATCCAAGGTCAGTGAATGCGGGCATATCGACCAGTTTGGAAAGCAGTTTCTGAGTTTGCTTGTTTGGTGACCTAACTTCATGAGCTGATTAATTGGGTAATCTCCACAGGATATTAGAGAAGCTGCATCCAAGTTGCAATCCAAGGTGTCAGCAAAAGTAGTTACCCTTACTGAAGGTTTCAAATCAGCATACTCTTAACTTCATATATTTCTGTTTCGTAGAATGTAGCTTGATTCTGACAAAAGAAAAAAGAATGTAGCTTGATGAAAGGAAAGAGTAGACATGTAAATGTAATTTTCCTCATAATTTGATTGCATCTCACAACAAATGTCCTCTTGAGAGCACTGTACCATATCCCCCAGCAAAGGAAATGTCGTGTGCTATTTCTTTAAATGGTTATAAAGTATTTCTAGTTTTAGTACACATGATAATACCGGCTTGTTTTGATCCAATCATGGCTCACGATTTGCGCACATACGTCATACTCAAAAGTCGGAACAATGAATGATTTTCCACATGTAACCGACTAGCTTGCATAGGGTGGAAGAAGCAGGTCAATCACAAGATTTTGGGAAAAATTCCAAATGGGTACACTTGTGATAATTTTACCCCAAATTATTTTTATGACCACAAAAAATCCCCAAACTGGTACATTTGTAATTAATTTATCCTAAATTAATATTTTGACCACTAAAAACTCCAAACTGGTATATTTGTGACAAATTGACTCTCCGTTAATTTTTGTTAAATTAGATTTATATCACAAAAAAAATTATAAATTGGTATGCCTATGACAAACGAAGGGTAAAATAGAAAACTAGCAAATCAGACAACTGTCGTGTGTCATTTAACAAAACAATTTGACAATAAAATTTAACGGAAATAAATTGAGGATAAATTTGTTACAGATTTACCAGTTTTTGATTTTTCGTGGTATTAATCTTAAGATTTTTAACCTTTTGACATGGAGGAACTTGTTACCGGGTACATCTATCACATCGGGGGCAAAAAATGGATGACATTCATGTTCAATTCGCTGATAGTACCTGATGCTTTATAGATCAATAAATAAGTCCTCGTACTAGGTAAAAATTACTATTTACCAATATATGGAAAGTTACTTTACCTTTAGATTAGATGGTTGTAGGCACAATACGGGAATTTTATTGATCGATGAAGAATGGATGCGAAAGCATCGTTCCAACAAATAGATTTGAATACCAATTTCTTCTCATGAAGTCATGTTGCTTGCCTCGTTTTTTTTGGAGCAAAGCATCGTTATGTTTTTTTGGATCAAAGAATCGCTTGCGAATGCTATGTTCTTTAAATGGATGCTGTACCATTGTTGGACCCCCTTACAGCTAATAAGACAATAACTACTAGTTCGCCAAGTCCCCGCAAGTAAGAAAGAACATCAATATGACAACAGCAATTCTAAAACCGTACTGCTTTTTTGCTCTCCTAGAAATTATGAGAAGTTTCATTGATATTTATGCCAGTTACAAGATAGAAACAATATTACTATTACAAAGAGACTCAATGAATCCAAGATGTGCAAGAACTCGGGAGGGCAACCCTCTCACTTTCACATACACACTATTTGATTAATCTACAAAGAAGATTATCATTCTACAGAGGGAAAAAAGCACAAATGTTAAGAACAAAACCGGGACATAGAAACAGCAGTACAACCACAATGCCCTAAATCTGGCGGAAGACCTTTTCAGCTGCTGCCACCGTCTTCTTGATGTCTTCAGGAGTATGCGCCAAACTGGTGAATCCAGCTTCAAACTGGGAAGGGGCAAAGTAAACGCCTTCTCTTAGCATTCCTTGGTAGAACCTTGCAAATTTTTCGGTGTCACTCTTCTTCGCATCCGAAAAGTCATAAACAGGCCCTTCTGTGAAGAAAAAGCCAAACATCCCTCTTATGTATCCGCCACACATGGCATGCCCAGCCTTCTTTCCAGCATCCACAATGCCTTGGACAAGTTCACCACTAATCTTATCCAAGTGCTCATAGCTTCCAGGCTCCTTCAGCCGCTTAAGAGTGTGGATTCCGGCTGTCATCGCTAACGGATTCCCACTCAAGGTACCTGCCTGGTACATCGGTCCAGCTGGCGCAACCATCTCCACGATGTCCCTCCTCCCACCATATGCACCGACAGGAAGACCACCGCCGATGATCTTACCTAGAGTTGTCAGATCGGGAGTTATTCCAAAATACTCCTGCGCACCACCGTAAGACAAGCGGAATCCTGTCATGACTTCATCGAAGATGAGGAGAGCATCATTATCTTTCGTAATCTGGCGCATGGCTTCGAGGAAACCGGGTTTAGGAGCAATGTAGCCTGAATTTCCCACGACAGGTTCCAGAATAATGCCAGCGATCTCCCCCTTGTGGGTCTTGAAAAGCTCTTCCACGGCAGAGACGTCGTTGAATGGAGCGGTCAGAGTGTCTATGGTGGCTGCTCTTGGAACACCAGGAGAATCGGGGAGCCCTAGAGTAGCAACACCACTGCCGGCCTTCACAAGGAAGGGATCAGCATGACCGTGATAGCAACCCTCGAATTTGATTATTTTCTCCCGCCGAGTGAAGGCGCGGGCCAATCGGAGCACGCCCATGCATGCTTCTGTGCCGGAATTGACAAACCGAACCATTTCTATGCATGGAACTGCAGAAATAACCATCTCAGCCAGAACATTCTCCAGAAGACAGGGAGCACCAAAACTGGTTCCCTTTTTCATTGTCTCGGCAAGGGCAGCCAGGACCTGCAGGCAGATATTCGGGCCACATAAGAAATGAATTGCGGCACCATGAATGTGATATGCAGTAGATAGATGGACAACACCAAATGAATCATCATGCTTAAGTACTTTCACATTTTGGTAAATCAGAAGTTCCTAGAAACTTTTTCTTACTTGTGGCCCAATCTAAATCATCTTTCTAGGTACTTAAGCACGCTTTACTCAGAGCGAAAATCAACTTAGACCACAAAGAGATGTAGACACTGGTTCCATCCATTGCAACAGCTAGCAAGACACGATGTTTTAAGTTGAAGGCAACTAAAGACAGATATCAAACTCCAAGAATTTCTATTCATTAAAAGACAAGATGCGAGACATTTTTTGAGGTTAATGAAATCTGGATGCCAGCAATGCGAGGCGGTGAGAAAGAACAGGACCTCATCATCGGCATACCTAGTAATGGCAGGACCCCACGACCCGCCCAAATGAATCACCATGTTTAAGTACTTTCACATTTTCTGCTTCACTCAGAATGAATGTCAACTTAGAGCACAAAGAGATGTAGACACTGGTTCCACCAAATGCAACAGGAAGCAAGACACGATGGTTTAAGTTGAAATTCAGCCAAAGGCAGATAAAAAAAACTCTGAGAATGATTTATTGAAAGATAGGATGCGAGATGATGTTCAAGTTCAATATTATCTGGATGCCAGCAACGCGAGGCAGTGAAAAAGAACAGGACCTCATCATCGGCATGACCAATAATGGCAGGACCCCAAGACCCGACATAGTCGATATACTCGTTGCCATCAATGTCCCACATGCGAGATCCCTTGACAGAATCCATCACAATAGGTTGGCCACCCACGGATTTGAATGCGCGGACGGGGGAGTTCACACCTCCAGGCATCAATTCCTACCAACAACGGAAACATATGCATCATTCATCATCACCACCGCCACCGAAATGAGATACAGAGAAAGCTCGTAATGGTACACGCAGAGCACCAAAGAAAAACACCCGCATCTCAAATGGAGCAGCACTAGCATTGGATAAAGTGATCAAATTGACTCCAAATTGTCACTCGCATCAGCTTAAAACACACTGGGTCAATGCTTGCAGGACAAATAAAAGTTGTCAACCTCAATGTAATCAAATGGGTACCAGCAACAGGGTCGACTAGAAAGATCGGTTTTTTTTTCAAATGGGTTTCGGAATTACCTTGGCGGCGGCGAAAGCTTCTTCGGATTTCTGGAGGGTGAAGGCCTTCTTCTTCTCGTCGAGAGAGACGGCCATTCTCACGCAAGCGCGGGAGGAGGGCCTGGGAAGCTGCTTGGAAGAGGAGGAGGACCGCCTGGCCGTGACGGTGAGCCCCACCACCCCGATTCCGCTGGCGGCAGAAGCCATTGTTGGACCTGTATCAGCTGCTCCCTCCGCCGGTCAAAAACAATTGTAAGACGGAGAGGATAAGAAAATTTCTCCTTCTCCTCCGCTCTCTCTCTCTCTTATTCCATTCGCTTCCAAGCTTTGCAGAAAGTTTCTGATCTGCTTAGTAGGGGTATGCTATCGGCATAACCACCGTCGGATCAGGTTCGGTTTCATCTGGACCGTCCATTCGGGTGCGTTTTGGTATTCCCATCCGAAAATCTCAGCGGTTGGTTATTGACAATTGATCTCAGACGTTCAGATCGTTGACTCTGCGTGTGAGAGTGTCGGAGTAAAAGGCGGCCGACAGCCACCACCCGGCCTTGTGGCGGCTGGCCCTCTGCCGCCGCAACGAATAGAAAAAGAAAATCATAAAATAAGACCCTATTGGTGGTGAATCGGGTGATCCGACGCTTAGAATTTGCCGAATATCGATTAGATGATTAGCATTTATAAAAGCAATCAGGCTTTTCAAATCTTAATATAACGACGGCCCAATGTTTCAATAGAGCTCAAAATAATTCCTACTGGAATCTCGTTAATGGTAAGATTGACGAAAGAGAGAAACATATCTCGTGAATCAACCGATCTGATGATTTTGATTTACCTCCTTTTAACTGATGTTCCCTTCTTTCTTCTATTGTGTTTGTAGAAGTTTACTAACCCGCTTTTCTTTTTCTTTTCTTTTTTTACGAAAATTATTTGGTATTTGAGTACCTCAATAAATTTAATGCCCGGGATTTTAATTTAAAAGAATGACCGTGAGGTCTACACTGTGATGTACATGGGAAAATTCATTTACAATCCTCTCTCTAAAATTCAATCTCTAATCATTTTATGTCATGATCAATATTAAAGTCGCAAAGTTGAATGTTTAACCTTATGTCATAGCTTTCTGCAATAATCTACTGTTTCTGTTTGATGAAAATTGTAGGTAGAGCAAAACCCAGGACACAAATTAGCTTCAGTACAAAAGCAAAACCCAAACGATCGAACAAGTCAGGCTCAGCATTAATAACCCAAAACGATGTTGGTTAACATGTGTTGCCCCAAATTATAAACCCTAATTTGGACGGATCAAGTTTCTCGAAACCCTAAATTTTCAAATCCCTCTTCTTCTATTCCTTGAATGAGTGAACTCTCATCTCGATTTGGCATGTTCTGGCAAGCCACGAAGAAGTTGCTCAATTGGCCCATCCTAACCTCCGTCACCGCGAGGGGCTCCGTCCCACCCCTTCTCTGTGGATGTCCC